CTTAACACCGTACACGTTATGAGGATTCTCTCCAAAAGCGTACGGTCTTTGTTTGGCGATGCTAGGCAGTTTGCTTGAGTGACTTCTCCACACCCTTTTTCCTTTTTGTTTTTTCATTTATGCAGTTTTGTCTTTTTAGTAATACCACTTTAGTACATCCGCAGCCGATAGTGTAGAATACCTGAAATGCACCCACTCCGTCATACAAAGCTTCTCTTCACGTGACTAGACTAGGCTAAACTTTACTTATTCGGGGTTACTGCCTACACTCCAAACAGCTACACCATAAATGCTTTTCACCACGGAATCCGCACTTTGCTACATACCGCTGCTAACTCGAGTATTATTCTAGTTACTGGTGACAGGAGTGCGCATATAGGTCAGGTAATTTCCCCAGAACCTCAGGCAGGTAGCATCTTTGGGTTCACTTCCGATAGCACGGGCAGTAGCGGGTGTTTGCGCAACCGTGCATCAGTGATCGACTGTTTCTACATGGCACCACATTCATTCGTAACTGACTTTCAGACAATTAACCTGAAGAGATCACATGGCGTTAAGTTTCGAGTGGTGTGGCTTAACTCGTTTTGTAACACGTGCTTTCTGTTACTCCGGCGGCGATATTGTTTGAATTTTGCCGGGGCGCACAAAAAACAGTTGGCAGCGGAGAGACTGATTTATTATTTTTGATAGGCTCACTCATCAGGACACCCTGCAGACATTACTGTTACCACTCAGCTACGATGAACTTTATGCTTCCATCATTGGAGCAAATGCTTACGGCTGGTAATCGCCATAGCACAGGACCACTTTCAATGAGCTTGTATTGATGATGACTGTGGATAAATAAGTAAATATCTTTTATTCTTCGACTGTGCGAGAAACTATTGCCACATGGGGGAAGGTATACGGATTTTCTTCGTAAATCCCCTCATCATCTAGGACGGAACTATGTAGCATGTTAGGTTCATTACACTTTCGCACATGCACATTATTCAGGGAGAACTGCAGAAGAAGCTACTGGGGCTGGATTATCCCTTAACTGATGTTTCGTCGATCTGAACCAACGCAATCTGACCAGAAAGCGGAAAGTGAACTTTAGTGGCCGTCAGTCTTTCAATCTCCCGCTGACGCGCAATCCAACTTCAGAGGTTTCAGTTCATAGTAGACATAGGGAAGAAATAAAATGACAGCAGTATCAAGGTAGGTAAGAAATGGCTATAAAACTTTTACAAACAAACGTGAATAGTGAATATCTAACAAAGATTAATTTAAAAATATAGACAACAATTCACAGGGAATACATAAAACCTGACAAGTCCTCTTGTAATCTCCCTAGTAGTTGAATTGGGACGTCTAAAAATGCAGAATCTCACTGAAAGCCTTACTCTATGGTGAAAAATGCCCCAGAATGAAAATGAACAAACCGATAGCAACAGACTCTGGCGCTATGTACAATGAGGACGAAATGTGCATTATTTGGCAAATGTCAACATGTCAGCGTATGACGCAGATGTAAAAGGAAAGCAACATATATGATGACACTGACCATGATAAATAAATGAAATAATAAATCGCCAGCTGTGCGCCCTAACGGCGCTTCGCTGCAACGCAACCACCACCAGTCGCGCGTTGGCTGAGTATACCGCGAGGACGCCCGCCCCTATGCGGATTCGAACCGGTGACCTTATGGTTGCAAACCAGATACACATACCGCTCAGCCACCGGCCGACACTGACCATGATATTGTCAAATGAACTGGAACGGGGCTTACCAGCCTGCAACGGTGCAATACTTACCCGAAAGCTTCCAGCTACGGTAGGAATGGTAGTGGTATCTATCTCTGCTCGACGTTACTCATCCGCACCACGGTTCCCCCAGAATCATCCGTCAGTGATGCAATCAGGGATAGTATCGGCGCCCTTAGTTACTGTAGGGGACACCGTTTGGCTCTTCGGGTAGAGCGCATTCATGGACAGTTTGGCTGACTGTTTGACCCGTTCCGTGCGTAGGTAGAGCACGTTGAAATGTGGCCAATTAACTTGGAAGCTCCAACTGAAGCTGAGGCTGGGGTTGTCGTCCGATTTCTCTCTCCCTGGCTGTCTAAGGATGGTGGTGAAACCCGTACTAGTTTTGTCCGCCTATTCAAACAGTGCTGGAAGGACGGGATTCTCTCGTCCAATTGTGATGCCGTCAATATTCAAGAAGGATGGTCACCAAGTGTACGGTATCCACGAGTTGACGCCGGTACTGATAAGGTCGCCTACATTCTCGTTGGTCGGACTACAGGTGAAATACCATCACGAATGCGACGAGAGCGGATAGGTCTTCAACTGGAACGAGTCTGCACAAAGTAGCAAACGGCACGATATTAGCGAAACTGTTAGACAAAATAAAAACAGCTTATCCGTAACTTGTCAAAATACTTGAGGCTTTAAACTTAACTATTTGAAAAGCCAGAATTACTACTTCCTCGCCAGCCAGTTGCTGCTATGATCCTTGTAACGTTCCTTTGGATCCGACTTCGCGCACTGAAGTAGAATGATCAGTCTGCTAAAATTGGGTTGGGCCATGCTACCAGATGTAATTTTTCCATCCCTCTTCAACTTCGGGTGACCAACTAATATAAATGATTTGCGATTTTTTAATGAAACGGTGGGAACCGGAACTGACTCGCTCGACTGGAGCAGCACAGTTGTAGTGATGATTCTGAAGAGTCTTGCGTTCGGAATGCTACAATCGTGTAGAGTCCCATTGACTATTGACATCTCAAAATTGTTTGCCTCTTCGATCTTCATAGACTGACTAGCACCCGTTAGATTTCCGAAAAACCGGGTCTCGTCGAAGTTGAAGCTGTTTTTACCGCATTCACACTTTACCCGTTGTTGGAGCACCGCCATTGATATTGGCGACCCACTCTGGTCGTGTTCCTCGGTATCAAAGTGCCTTCGATTCGGTGGATGGATGTACCATTTGGGACTGTCTGTTCAGGAATGACGTTCTCGCGAAATATTACGAGGGCGTCATACGCGCGTAGTCGGGTAGTATGTGGGCTTATGGCAAGTTGTGGCCGTCCTTTAATATCTCCAGCGTTGTGTGACAAGAATGCCCATGTCTTCTTTCCTTTTCAAATTTGCGATAAACATGGCCATGCAAACTGCACTCACTAGACACGACTTGGGAGGGGCGAAGCTACTTCCATCTGATCGACCTCTTGACTTTGAGTACGCCGACGACATTGCACTAATCTTGGACGGCTCACGAATGTGCGATTCAGCACTACACAATTTAGCACTGACAATCAACCGTTTCGGACTTTACCTTGTACTCTCAAAATGCAAAACATTCCTCGGAGGTTGTCAAGCGTCGCCTCCTGCGCTGACCCATGGTGAGGATCAACCAGAAGTCGTTGAACAATTTAACTACATGAACAGCTGTATCGGCTCGTGTGTGGTCGATGTCTTCATTTCGAACCAGATGGCAAAGGAGATACTTTTGGCAATCTTCACGAATGTGTTGCAGGAGCGACATCACTCTCTCCTTAAAGATAGTTTTCAATACAACCGTCCGTTCAACCCATTTACGATTATGGAGCCTGGCCCATCATATCGACAGACATAGGGGGGCTTGTTACCTTCGACCACCGGTGCCTTCGCAGTATGGTCCACATCTGATGGGGACACCGTATGAGCAGTGAGCGTGTTCGGCGTCTTGTTTATTGCGCATGAAATTGATATGATCTGCTCAGCATCATATTTTCGGGTAACATGCTTTAATGATTGGATAATATATTACTCATGACAGCACAGCGACTCCCGCGACACATGTAATACGTGCCCATGAAGTTGTAGGCATCTATTTTCTTGCTTCGACTTATAAGGACGATGAACAGCAGGTTATCAAACTGTTTATTTTTCTCAGTGGTTTTGTTAACGATGATGGGAATCTATTCCCAGTGATTCCGCGACACCGCCCTTACCAGATGGACATATTCCTTATTCCTGATTTAGTGGCTTCTATCTATGAATGTCAGGCGCCTTAAAATCGTCTTTGCCTGCGGTATATTTCTTCTATGTATTGACACACACGCAGTCTACAAATAGATTGGGTTTCGTTTCTCACACAGAACTGGCCGCAGAAGTTCCACTTTTTCGAGAGCGTTATGCACGCACCCCTGTCGCCTACCGATAGTAACTTGATTTTTCTTAGTTGATGTTGGATGGTGTGGTATTCGTTGGGTACACTTACTGACGGAAAGTAAATTCGGTAGACTGGACTGCTTTTGCCGTCCTGTCTTTCAGCTTTGTGTCCGTACTACGTAAATTGTGCTTGACTCCGACTTTCGCAAATGGCACACAACCGGCATTAATGGCGCATTTGATGTCTCTCACCATCGGGCTTCCCGTCAAAATTGACTATGTCGCTGAATCATCCATGTATTACGGTTTATTATAACGTGTGACCGGGAATGCCTCAAGGAAGTTGTCTGATCGATTCCACTTTATCTCCACACGTTTCCAATCTATCTGTAGCAACACGGTGCTAACAGTTTGTGTAGGCCTCTCACTTCGTATGTTTGCTTGAATGGTTTCAGTTCTGTGTTTGGCCTCTCCTCAGTTTTCCTGCTTAAGCCCGTAATCCTCTCCTCCTAATTTTTAGTCGCATGGCTTTGGGGTACCAGTGCGAAAAGTATCGACCTGTTGCTTTATTTTTACTGTCACTGTTTATGCCTTCTCATACAAATGCGTCTGGGTCACAGTTATGAACTACGCTTTGATTCCTGTCTGAGCTTGTCGGCACGTCTTCTCACCCACACTTTGCATTTGGTGGTTGTGGGATAGCAAATACTGCTTGTCACGCCAGTCGTTTCTCAGTTTCTGCTTCTTCACCGCCCGGTCGGTGTTGATTTGAGATAACCATACCGTTTCCAATTCTGGTTTGGTTTGAAATCTGATGTACAGTTTCCTGTATGATTTCCCTAAAGCTTTAGGCTTTGTGACTTTATGCTTGAATTACTTTTTTTCCTCACAGGAGTTGCTGATGGCGTTGGTGGTTGGCGCGCTTACGGCGTCGATCCTGGTCGCTTTTCGAGGGCTGTGATGAGACATTGCGAACGCCTGGTTCTTTCTGGTCGATCAGATTTACGAAAACCTTGTTTTCTAATCGCACAGAGCTATGAGGATGTTTTGACTTCTAAAGATTCCATACTTGGTGAGCATTCATGTTTCCTCTCACTTTTTGTGTTTACCGGTAAAAGTTTGTACCATCGGTTGTGCTACCCAATCTCATGACCTCTTTCGTTCCGGTCACGCACATGCACTTACGACATCTCAAGTGCAGGTCCATTTATTTCTTCCACGTGCTGGTCTTTCTACTTTGGTTTCATGTGATCGACCTACTTGGAAGATATTGGCTTTTAATGTGTTACACTTTATCTCAGGCAGTGCAACTTTTTGCATCATCTGCTTGCAACGTGATGAGCGGCGCATTTATACTGCCAGCCTCGGCGACTGTGGTTTTCTTGTTGTACGTGGTGGTCGTGTGATTCAACGCTCAACTCACCAGAAGCACGCCTTCAACACTCCTTTTCAATTGGCATCTCCGCCCCCCATCCACTCAATTCATTTTCACCATGACCTGTAAGTTTTTCATGTTTCGCGTAGTGGTTTCATTATATTAACACCAGGCTGTGAATGGTCTGTCACTGTCTGCTTATCGTTTATTTTATCAACATACTTTGCCACTTAGGATCGTTACTTCATTTTGGTAGTAGCAGAAGACTCTGGAAATTCAAACACTCATTAGGCCGTTGGGACCGTAATCAATCGTCGGGTGCCGGTGATTGAGCGAGCAAGTCAACGAGGGCATAAGGTTGAATCCCAGAAGACGCCATTGAACCAAAGTGGTACTGTGCGACTACATATGGAGTTCGAGGAAATTTGATTAACAGCAACAGGAGCCAACTAAAATCGTGCCATCTGCCTCGCAAAGCAGTGGTGAGCGAAAAGGAGAATAAGTTTTGAGCACCACTAACGATGAAGAATCACGGCTTCACGCTTTCTGTAAATAATTACAACCAGATTTTGGTTGTAACACAATACTTGTTCTATTGTTTAAGATGTACACGTGTTACCAAATGAACTTAATAAGTCACTGAATAGGTAACACTGTAACTTCGGTTGAAGACCATCGATCGCGATCCTTTACACCTGTCCGAGATTTTGCTACCGGGAACCGGCGCTTGTGAAAATTGAACTGGATAGTTAACCAGTTACCTTACAAGTTGGCAATCTTCCCGCATGATGTTTGAGATGAAGCAAAACCCATTTTGCAGACATCGAGCGTGCAGAGTTTGACATATGTGCTGTACTCCGAAGGTGCTGTGATTTGTTAGAATTGGAACAGTTGGACGTTATCAACGTAACCGATTCTCTGACCGAGAGCTTCTACTCGGCCAATCACTTCAACAGCTGCGTTACCTAGCTGAGACTCATGGACGTGCAACTTTTGTGTTTGCCTGAATGGTTAATTTGTACTGGGCAGATACTGCTGCTACAGCTGCTTTCCCTCATCACAAAGTATAGTTGTCACCTCTGCGGAAAGATTTGCGTGGAATGCTCGACGGAAAATCATTTCGTGTGATGTTGCTGACCGATGGAGCCCATTTCAGTCAACTACTTCAACCAAACAGTTATCCGGGAGTCCTCAGCCAATAACATGGAGAATCAAAGAGGCAAGGACCATGCCTGTACATACGGAATACTGGGGTCTTTACATTTGATCTCTGTTAACATACTGTTTGAGGGAATATCATCTAGTGTACAGTGATTGTGTTGCCTTTCACGTTGGTAATGCGTAACGACACACTTCAAAAATACTTGGTGCAAGCACTGTGTGACTTGTCAGGTGAATTTTACGTCAATCAATCAATCAACTACTGTACTTCAGCCACTTGAACTGATGCTTCGCTGCCGTACAACCATGATGACTTGTGGAATAAGGAATAATAAGAGGGAGATATGGGGGACTTACCGGAAAACCTTAATCACCTAAGCAAACATTCAGGGTGAAGGAGCCCACACCTTATGTTACCAACATACCGTCACAAACAACTGGCTATCGTGCAAAGATAAGGCGGTATCGGCGAGACAACTTCCTTGCAGCTTTCGCTGCCTTGCGTCATGATCAGTCATTAACTCGCAGATAACTCAGCATCAAACACACTTTAAACAAGCGTCCGAGTAGGCAGCAGACGCGCCACTGGTGTCGGCTGCGAGCCATGTCCTGTAAAGTCTCGAGCCAAGCACAAAGCGGGTCACGCGGACTCCACGCCCAAGTCGGGACGGATCGACATTACCAGGTTTGGCCGTCAATAACTTCATTTCCCGCTGCCTAGTCAAATTATGTCCACCTCCAGCTTCGCGACACCCTATATCTGGTAGACTAAACAAGGCCCTCCTAGACAAGCGTGACCAAGCATACATAGTACGTGCCAAAACCAACGCAACTTACTCAGTGCTGTCTGTTGTTCTAAGGAACTAGCTTAGTTATCACTGTCTAGTGCTCACATACGCACATCATTGTTGCGGATATGCTAGTGCCGCTCAACACCAGCAGTCGGCGATGATCAAAGTTGTAGGCGCCTCAGATCAAAGGGGTTAAGTCTTACTCCCATAGAGTAGGACTGCCCTCACTGTGGCCTTGTAAACACGGACTTTCAGATGGAGAGTGCATTTTACTTGGCGAACCAAGTGCTGGTGTTCGCCGTTACTCAAAAAACGCATGACCTTAGTTTTCACAAATTCCTCCCACATTGTGTTTGGCGAAATATGAAACCAGTATGTTCACCCGCAAGTGATGTTACACGCTCACGGGGTGTCGAAATCAAATCTGAACTAGAGCAGTAAACGAAATACGAAGCGAACAGACTGGTTAAGCGAGATAATTAAATGTCCAAATCGCAAGCCTGGCGATCGTGATCTCCATATGCAGGTTGGCACGGGAAAAGATGGGCACAGGTATTAAGAAAAAGAGGTTTCCCGCCAAATGAAAGATACCAATACAAATCTTTCGATCTCCGCTTACTTTGCTCCATATTACTTCCTTTCGAGATCCGCAGGGACATAGAATTTGAGCCATGTCAATGCAAAAAGTATAATCTATTGGATTTTCTACATCATTTACTGACACTAGCCGTGTACTAATTCTGGTGGCGTGGATAAGAAATGCTTTCACTGGCATATATCACGGGGCGTTTCATTGACTGCTGATTGCTGGATCTACAACTTCGCTTGTTGAAAAGTCACCTTATTTATTGTCACCTCACTTCCCGATGATGTTCGTATGCAATCAGAACTACGATTTACAAAACATGCATCGCGCTTGCCTTATCAAGTGTCCAAATTCTAGATATGAGCTGAATGTATGTGATGTGGTCCCAGTCTCCGCGGTACATCGGCTTTCTGTCATCGAAGAGTGTGCTTACAGCAGCTGCGACGTAGTACTGAAAAGTTGCGATCTCCATAATTTTTTACGAGCGCTAACCAGTGCTTGGAAAGGCGGCTTCCGTTAGGACTTACACTATCCTTCAATTTCCGTGACAGATGCATCTTGCAAGTGGGCTAATATCTAGCGTCTGTAAATCACTAGTTCCACAGGCCGTACAACTTATTTTGAGCTGAAACTGACTCATGTAATATGTTTAGTACTTAAAAGATGCTTTGTATGAGCCAGCAAGTTGATCACTCGACTCGAACACGGGACTCTGCCGAACTGCTCGATCTGTCCGACATGTGACTTCCAACTGGAAGCACTAACTGCTTGAAAGTTTTCATATAGGTAACGACACAGATTGTCGTCAGTTCTGTGCATATGTGTTAAGGAAAAATGGTGTGACCATTTCAGCGATTGTTTTAGTCTATCCACTGATTGCGACTAGTACTCAACCAATGGTGAACAGGCTGCGTCGTGTGATTGGAGGGCCGTTTTGATGCACACGTTACGTGATTGGATGGCACGCGCAATCCAATAACAGGTGCACATCAAAATAGTTTTCCACTCAGTCAGTAACCGCTATGCAACGCGTTTGTTTGTCGTGACGCGGTGGCTAAAGGTGTAGAGGTAGCAACTAACATCCCAATGGTCCCTATACGTGACCTGCTATCTCCACTTGACGACATTAAATAAGGTCAAAATGCGTCGTGGTGTGCAGTGTTTTCGGGCGCGCAACACCCAATTTCCATAGGCTGCGTTGTCATTTTACCGGACACGGGATCTCCGAAGGATCGCTTAGACCTAACGGGCTGCTGTTTACACTGAAGCGTTCTAAACTTTCAAGAAGAAGTGGGATTTCGCTCATCACGTTATTCTTTCGTATCATGGGAGGTACAACGAGAACGCCGAAACAGTAGAGAAAATGACCAAGTGGACAGTAGCTAAAGCCACATCCACTCTCCGAAAATCGAGTTGAGCACTTAGATGGAGAGTTTTGCGATCCATAGCCAGAACTGCTTCCACATAGGGCACCATCCCTCTCACTAATGCATGAACGTTTGGAAAAAGGAACACTCCGATAAAGATCGTACTCTGATCTTGGATCGAAATGGTTACTGCTCCTCCATATATGTTTAGATATTTGCACCCGTAGTCGATAAAATCTGGGAAGGATGTGGTGAAAATCGCAAAAGAAAGGGAAATTATATTGTCAGATTAGGAAACACTTTGTCGCCTACACCGGACTCTTATGCGAAGTCATCCACCCAGTCAATCGACCACTTGCACGGAGGAAAACGGACCACCATTCACAATCTCAATGGCAGACAACGAATAGACTGCACACGACGCCATTGGTACGGAGTTCGTCGTCAACTCGTTTTATCATCATTAACTATCAGGTTATTTTGTAGATGCTAAATTTAGATCGTAGCCCAACGGTATATAATCACCTATATACTTACCACTCTGCCTAATTTTTATCCCTTGTTTCGGCATACACAACTAAGCTTATACTCAGTCTGAGGTACCCTTCTATTTCCCACCACTAGCATCAGTACCATCGGTGCCAATTCCGTTTGCACGGTGCCAATGGGTGTTTCATTCTCATTTGCTGCGACTTGTACTTTCTACATGGCATCTTCCCCGTAACTGTCTTGTGCACACCGATGTCTTAATGGTTCTAAAGGATAAATTTGTTGCATTCGAGAAGTGCACCCGCGCGTTGTGCTTCGGAATATTTGACCAATAGTGTCCTTGTGCCTTTACTTGCATCTCCTTCTTAGTCTTGATAGCCTTTTTGTAGGTCCCATTTGTGTTTGATATCATTCCTCTGTGAATGCGCTTCTGTGGTCGCCGGCTTCTCATAGTACTTATCCCTTTTTTTAGTCCTGCTCAAGCTACCCAAAGCTCAATCGATGTGGAGCCCGGTGATCTGCTAGTTGTGGGCACTGATGGCCTATTCGATAACCTGACAGAGACAATGATCCTGGAGGAAGTGTGCACCATCCGTGTAAGCGCTTTCCACTTTGGTTTTTTATGTTTTCTTGAAACGCGTTGATCACAATTTCCCGCAGGCTGTCTCCCGATCTCAGTCCTCTCTGTTGTTTACGGTTCCTGTTTGCGTAACATCTGCATTGACGTTCCCCATATGCTAGTGAACGGGTGAAAAATGAATTCATTCGCTGTGTGGGGAGCATTTAATTGTTACTCGCTTACTGCCCTGAATTCCGCCACTAGTACCACCTCCTTAGTTGAAGTTTTCGGCGACAGCAGCTCGGTCGCAATTAGGATTCCTGAACACGCAGCCACAGACTGGATGTCCTGGCCACCTTCCATGTGGTTCTGCCAGCATCCACGTTAACAGTAGACGCGAATTTATTGACATAGAAACTTTTGCGCATGATTAAGATGCACTTGCGATGTAACGGCAGCTGACGGCCATCTTGTTCATCAGTATTGTACGTACCAAGGAATTTTTATGAATTCCTCGTTAATGATTTTGATTTTTCACTTCTAACCATCAGTTATTGTCGTTCTAGTACTCTGCAAACACCTACGAGGGTTGTTTTTTGGGCTTGCCGAGCGACGAGTAGTGCTGGCGCCCGCCATTTGATTGACTTCACGCCCCCTGGCGGCGAGCTGGGTTAGGTCATTATCTTTACATTTCTACCGACTTTCCACACCGGTATGCGCTATTTGCACGCTTCAGGTTATCCAGTCAGTGTCATGACTACAGCTGACCAGGTGGCCGAACCAGCTGCATCCATCCAGTGTGTGCAGTCAGGTTAGACGGAGTCGGCTATATGTATGACTTGCTGTTGTATTTCGCGATAAGTGCTCGAGAAATCAATGATGATCTTGCAAACGGCCCATTGCCGTAAGCTGTTTGTTCATATATTCTGCGATTTGAATCTCATCTCTGTAAAGTCACGGCGGCGTGAGTCAGTGTTTCCCTCGGCGCGTAGCCGTTGTACTCTGGTGAACACTATCAGCCCCGGACGCTCCACAAGTTCATCTGATTCTCAGTTGGTCTTGCTCACTTAGCCATCTGTCTGGAAGTGTTCGCCTGACTACAAACATAGAAAACAACAGTGTGTGTAGTTGAGGTTGTTCGACTGGCCCCCGAAAATATCTGCTTTCCAGTAAATTTAGTATAATATGTTAATAATAGCCGCAGTCGTAAGTCATTTTTAGAGCTTCCGTTGCATCCTGCTTTCTGTGGCTAATTACTGTAAGCATTAGCGCATTTTCTACGTATCTTCAACATACTATGCATATCAGCAATACTACCTCGTTGGGATTTGTGAAGCCTACTTAACGGCTGTATTCTACTGTCGATAAGACGCTGCTTAATGACCGATGGAGATTTTAGCCGCTTCATTAAATCCCTCCCCGTCGATCCAAGCGCGTTTTGTTTGACCTGGAACCTTCCGCTTTTATCCAGTGTATCATCTCTGTTGGGTACGGGGTTTATTTTCGCCAATTATTGTCCCTCTGTTGGATCACTACACCACTCTGTCTATCACAAGTGGATATGGATGTGTCAACAGCGTAGTTTCTCTATAATCACTTATTAGCGCTTAAGTCATCTCTGCGTTTGTGTGTATTCTATTGCCGTGATGCCAAATCGCTTCTCCACCAAGACATTGCATCAAAACACGCTAACATGATGGATCGACTGAAGTCTACCCTGGATGTATAAGTTGGGTAGCAAGCTATTAAACCCACTCAAACCACCAGTTAGTATAAGTTACAGGCATCGCTCCTGTTTCTTCTAAAGGGATACTATTTTTATCACGCAAAAATCATACGCTATCGGTTGTTTCTCTTCCGGCTGGTGGGGTGCTAAATACTTTGTGTGGTTTCATAACCCAGTGGCATGGTTGGCGGCATCCGGTTTCGGATTTGCCTGTCACTGTGGCCAGCCACAGGACGCCTGCGCCTACAGAGGGACCATGGGTGGCTTGCGCTGCACCACCCACAGCTCCAACCACACACCCCATATCCAGTGTAAACCCGAAGGAATAAGACCGAGAAGCATGTGGATGGGAGCCACGTTTCATCAACGGAGCCGGCCCACACTCCTTCACAGGCAAACACAAGCACGCTGTAATTGGGGAATCAAGCGCACACACAAGACGGTGGCCGGACCGTAGTCCGCTCCACACTGAGTGCATGGAACCACTGTTTGATCTTAACACGGCCACAAGGACCGTGCACCCTGTCCCCTCCAGCAACGACCAACTGTCTCCTGGAGCCAGTATGGACGAGGTATTTGGTAATAGTGAGGGAGGCACCTTGTCAACATGCACATCAAGCGCAGCCACACCGGGGATATCAAGCAACAGCCATTCACTTTAAACGACAAGCTGAAATAAAATAAATCCAATAATGCATACAGATACGGTGGCATAACTCTTCCCTAAATTACCATATGAAGTAAGTTGGTTAGCAACAAATCCACGATAAGTAAGAAATGTCCACAAGTTACTTAAAATTGCTACAAACACAACAAAATTACCGAAGATAAGCGCAATTAGCGTAAGCAACGTGGCCAGTTAATAGAACATTATTCAGGTAGGCAGAACAAACCAAATAAAGTGGAATGAAATTTTTCCGGCTTAAAAAGACCTGGTTTATGTGTAAGTTGGTTTAGTCCAACTACGGTAAGGAAGCATCAATAAGATATATATATATATATATATATATATATATATATATATACCGAAGGTACATGTAAGCTTTACGTGCACTTCTGGTGAACCTTTATTCCACCATTGACCACTGTTCTGCTGTTTTGTCCTCTGGTTCCAATAGGCTTTTTGTTGCGTTTGTTATTCAGCATCTTTTTCTGGTTCAGATTCCCTTTATCTCAGTGTTCACTGAAATTACTAAGAAAAATGGTGGACACCGAGTTTTGTGTTGTTTTTTTTTTCTCAGTTTTCATTCCGGCTTGCAAATATTACGCACGATAATTGGGCGACCCGCTCAAACTATCTTGTCAGTTGTCCGGCTCGCTCACGTCTTTTTTCCAGTTATACAGCCCGCTGTGCTAAATGTTTGTTGACTTCTGGCTTGTGTGATTACTTCACGCTTTACCATGACTCGTGTGCTTTTTCGACTCCTCAACCACGTATGCAGACGGTGCGATGTAAGCATATTGCTTGCGGAGGGACTTGCAAAGCCGCACTGTGGCCAGCGTTATTATGTGAATCTGTGATCGTATCACTGTGGTCTGGTGAGACTGATCCTAATCTTGTTTGACCATTAACGCCCGAGTGACACTATTCGGTGTCATTCTGTGGTGTTTATTGAACTTGAACTGCCAACAACGGCCGGGTGGTGTCCGTTGCATGTCTTCCAGCCTGCTTCTTGGTGTATGTTGTTTACAAGCACTGTGTCTAGTCGAATGAAATCCTTAAGTACTCCATCAATGACGCGATGAAGAACATAACAACCTACCGAAAGACAACGCAATATGGATGTTTCCTAGATGGTGACCTCAGAATCCGCTACACTAGTGGTATCCGCATAGGGGTGGGCGTCTTCGCGGTATACTCATCCCGCGCGCGACTGGTGGTGGTCGCGCGGCAGCGAAGCGCCGTTACGGCGGACAGCTGACACATTATTATTATTATTACACTAGTGGTTTGCTCCTCCTCGGGTATAACACATTCACTGGTTTAGCATCATTCTCACATTTGTTCTCCTGTTTCTGAATCTACTAGTCCATCTGAATATTTTCATCCTTATCCTTTCACCTTGAATGATTGCTATTGACTTGGCGACGAGCTAAGGTGTAAGCATCCGCTGCACTTCGACCCAAAGGTCACGATTGACGATGGAACTTTATGTGTACGTAATATTCACCGTCATGCTCATCTAATTAGTCATGTTACTCTGAACATAGTCATCATCCCATTTTACTTCCTAGCTTTTTCTCAGTTTCTCTCTACTTCTAACGACGATTGAAAGGGTTAGCTGTGTTCCACACGGTGGCGTTATGTACACTACTTCATCACGTGTTACGTGTGTTTCAGCATTTTACATTTCTCACATTCGGTCTCATTTATCAGTCCGATTATCTCGTGCTTTTCCTGAAACGTGTATCGTTTTGCCCACTGAATACGTCAAACTTTCTGACCGTAAGACCTTCAGTCACTGCACGACAGCGAACCACCCAACTTGTTGTTCCCTATCTTCAACCTTAGAGTTATCACTTCCGGTGGGTGGCCCATAGGACGTTATTCTTCCACCTATTTTCCATACAGTGTAGTTATCTGCCATATATTGTAGAGTTGTGGTCGATATACCTCCCGATTCCTGGCCATTTCTACTGTTGGCGACATGCCATGCACTATTCGACCTTTCATTTTTTTTCTGCCCTATGGATTTCATTGTATGGTTTTGCAGAGGCTGGGCTGGATGTGGCAACATGTCGATTTGTATTTGTACAGTTACTTAACACTTGGCTGAACTCACTCCATTGTTGCTGCAAACGACCAGCCAAAAAGGTTAGACTGATTAAAGAGCCTTTGACGGCATTTTCGCGGATTTGCTGAAAGTTGTGGGCGACATGAAAATTGCATCGTTTCATCATCGTCCGTCTAGTAATCTACAGTTATGCTTCTTTGCAGCTTATCGATGTGTTTTTGGTACTTTGAGGGAATGAGAACTTACGCAGCCATCAGTGCGAGGTAAGGCATCAGCAGTACGCGGGTACGCAGTACCGACGCTTGGGTGCCGCGCAACCACCACCGGTTGCACGTGGGTTATGGAGATTGCGAGGGTCGCCCGGTCCCTACACAGGCTCGAACACGCGCCACCAGATTACAAGACGAGCTCGTTACCTTTAGGTTACCGGCCATCGGATGTATCAAGATCCGAACCCTTGACCGCTGCCGGGTTGAATCGCCAGCGAAGAGTGAAGAATGAGATGCGCCATGTCACATTGGACTTGTAGGTCATGACGGTCCATCACTGTCTACCATGGGTCAGTGACACAAGCCGCTAGCCAGCGGTTCAAGCCGTTCGAATCCTGGAGGATTCGATTGCTGTGCACTACTGACGAGACCAAACAGATTGAAACGGCCGTCTGGTGCCTTTCCAGGCACTATCTGATTTGCGAGCTACTACGAACAAACCCCCAACCATTACACATTTGCTGACATCACGTGATCCAGCTCTCTCCAAGATAGCTGGTTATAATAGGGCATTTAAATAACTGCCTAAGTGAAATTGTGTGGAATGACATTTCGCAACTGTGCTGTTTGAAATAATTTGGTGGCAGGCGTAACAGTTTGTACATATCGAGTCGTATAAATACAATAGTTGTCTTGCAGATGACTGTCAGTGAACTGCACTGCAGGAACTGTAAGCAAAATCAATGTCTACTTCAGGCAGTTGTTCAACGACATGTTTCAGTTTAAGTTCCACTCTCGAATCTTCCTTTAGGTCGACTTCTACTTATTAGATATTTCAATATTGCCTCCGAGTTACATAAATCTCTCGCGATCAAGTGGTCTAGCCTGCAACGACACGGTGATCGAAGTGCTTGCTCTGCTTTCTCATCGTTTTCTCCTAATATGGTATCCTTCCTAGTATTTCCTGTGTGACTTCTTTAGCAGGATTAATCCTAAAGGACAGATAACCCTGCATTTCTGTTGTTTTCAGTTATCGGATGATGGCATACTTGAAGGTCTGCATCGATGTGCTCGTTGCTTAGTCGACAGGGCCCGAAGCGCAGCGTTTACGCCCAACTTCCAGTCCCCCATCGCCAAAGAAGCAAGGAGATACGGTATCAACATAGTTGGTAAGTCTGCCCAATGTTCTAATTACTTTGTTGGGTAGGAGCAAGGCCATGCAATAGCCCTTTTGTCAAACACTTCAGCTGGTGGTGCTCGAGATGAAGATCCGTATATATATATATATATATATATATATATATATATATATATATATATATATATATATATATATATATATGAAAGGTCTACGAATAGACATAATGCCATCAGAAACCATGGGATTCAAACGAAGTTACAGAAATAGTAAAAGAAAACACAACACAACAATGTAATGGTTTCGTCAGAGGGCGAGATACTACTCGGTTGCCCAAGCCGATGTAGGGTCTTGACTTAGGGACACCACCCCGAGCCTTCAGCTGAATAGCATGTCCGCAAGGCAGCGGAGCAAATTCAGGGAATCGCGCCCATTGGGAGCCGGTGACTGATTGCTCAGTTCATACGCCTTTCTTTGTTCTTTTGCCAAACAGGGGCCCAATGCTCCCCAGAACTACAGCATAAACTTGCTGGAATACAATGCTTCGCCAGGATGAAGCAATGGGCAGTGACTTTAGTTAGTGGTGAGTTACGTCCGCCACATCACAGTGTTGTTAAACGGACATATGTGGCTTTTTATAGGCAGAACGCTTGCCAGTCGAAAACCCACCACGTCCTGGAACACTGCCGCCGAACCATTTGCTGGTACGGGAAAATCTCGACCCGCTCAGCTGGCACCACAAGAAGGTTGTTCGGCTGGCTAGCAACATCATTCTTTTGTCGAATTACTATCGTGCTACGCGTCAACTAACTGGCAACATGTCTCAACGATAGCGCTGTTTGACCGGACACTTGGTGGGCGCGCCATGACCCTGCGATGAGTTTCCTTTTTCTTAGTCAGTCAACCAAGATCCAGACGCCGAACTCAGTTACTTTGGTTCGCGTCGTCTCTGTGTATCATTATCATATTGATCATCTTGATCATGCCTCCATGGGCGTGCCTCGCATAGTCGAGAATAAAATATTTATTTATTTCTTTAGTTATATGCTGAGAGAAGAACATTCAAAATGCCAACGAGCCGTGAAGCTGTCCGGTGTGGAACTTAGCCGTTACGAATGTCTGCACACAGTTGCGTCTTGTACTGCTCGATACGTTATGTCGGATAAAATTAGCGCTAATGCATCGTTCCAGGAAGGCGGCGTGTACCAGTTCGAGTATACCACAGTCAATGTCATTTTGCGTTTCTACCACATCATTAGCAGCCCACTGTGCTACCTCGCGCAACAGGGCACGGCGTCGATGAGTTGTTAACGCACGGAAACTTGTGGGCGGACGTACGAAGTGTGATCTATCATTGTAGGTAATGCATTTTCCACATACGGGCGATGTCCAAAAAGAAACTGAACGTTAGTCATAACATCTTTATTGCTCGTTGCATAACATTTTAAACACTTTCCTCCTCAAACTAGTCTTCTGTACCGTCATTATACGGTACTCAACGGTGCTTCCATTTTTGGAAAGCACTTCTAGAACGCACTTTCTGAGATGGCGCGCAGGTCTTTTATCGCGTTTCCCTGAATCTTTCCTTTGGTTTGGAAACAACGTCCTTTTAACGTGGTTTTAAGTTTTGGAAACAGGAAAAGCCTGAGGGGCAAGGTCCGGAGAATACGGTGGATGGGGCACACAGGGAGTGTGATGTTTTGCTAGATAGCTGCGGACCAAGAGCGCATTTGTCATAATGCAACACCCAAGCCTGGTTTTCCCCACTTCCTGCGCACAGCATCCCTCAAATGCGCTAGAAATTGATGGCATACACCTATGCTGACGCCCACTTTGTCAGCAACTTTTCGAACAGTTAAACAACGGTTTCCACGGATTACAGCACGAACTCTCTCGACATGGTCATCGTCTTTTGTTGTGGAAAGTCGTCCAGGCTTGTGACCGTCACCGACCGTCATTCTGCGGTGTTCAAAACACGTAAACCACATAGCACTGCGCGTGACTCATGCTGTCCTCCTCGTATGCTTAGCTAAACAACTGAAATGTCTCTGTAAAAGTTCTGCCAAGTTTGTAGCAAAAAATTGTGCACATTCGCGTTGTTCTTCAAACCATTTCATTGTCTCTTTGGCACTAATCCGACGAACAGCTTATGCAGTTGCTCAGTTCCGTGGCTGTAACTCCACAACCAACAGTCAGTTCGTTGTCCAAACAAGCCTCCACATGCACCCAGTAGCAGCAGCGCACTCCCTCTGCCGTTCTCCGCGCTATTTCAAAAGTTCCGTTTCTTTTTGAACACCCGTCGTACAGCATATTCATTCATTATACACGTTAGCTAAAGGTGGGAAACACCTCAGCTACTGTGCCGCAATACACAAAAGAAAAAAGGAAAATAATGCAACAGGTGCAAAGCCAGTTGAGCTACCGGTAATGGATGGGCGTCGTTCCGGTAAGCCAGCAGCCGGATACTATGCAGCAAAACAAATTACTATGCCAAATTATATAAGGCTAAATAGTGAGATCGTGGTTGGAGGGGGAGGGTAAGAGGGATGGGTTGGGACCAACTCACAGCTTATGACGGTGCCAGAATGTTAGCTATCAGGTCCTGGCTGGAAAACTACAATTTCATTTTGCCCAGTGATTTCACTAGATGTTAGCGATACTTCACAAACACCAGTGGCCGGAGTATATCTCCATTTTTATAGAGCGGTGATCGTCTTGCTTTAGCAACGCCAAGTGCAGTGTTAAGTTATACGCTCTGTTGGTGATGGTCTAATAGCTTGTTGTCTGTATAGACGAGTGAGAGTTTGGAGAACTATACCTGTCTCTGCAATGTTCTCAGCTGCCTTTGCGACGATGTAGAGATGATACGGCTATCTAGAAAATCAACAACTTGACCATCAAGAGCGGTTGTTAAGGAATTGTAAATGTTTATAACGCTTTGACCCCATTTTGTTGTAGGTGTGGAACACATTCCGAAGTGTGTGTCAGTCTATCCGGAATCACTTCCACAGATGCCATGTTGTCCGCTTTCTACAAGTTATGAGGAGCTCAATTGCTAGTTTCTCGCAGGTCGCGATAAGGAGTTATAAAAACAATAGAACATCCTAGGTAGGATGTTCGAGATTGGCACCGTCAGCATGCTCGGGTACTTGAATCGAACGTGGTCCTCGCGTCTAGGAAAGTGATTACCTTTGGTTGTTCGTATATATGACGTTATTCCAACTCCTGACTTACTGTACTTGCGTAATCAATGCGTCTCCAACAGTGTCGTAGCCAGTCTTGATTTTTTTCTCTCTATTCCTTAGAACCACGAGCCACAGCAGCAAGGCGCCTGTAAAAACAATGTTTGGAAGTCTAGCGTTTTAATGCTTTTTGTGTGGTGTCTTTCTATCCGGTTTAAAGGTTCGGATGTTTGTACTTAGTTTCAAGTCGACCCCGTAGTACCCCACCTTAAGACAAGCGACTACTCCAAACACCCGTGATTTACTAACATCCTTCAGCAGTGATAAAGTGGGATGATTTTGGCTTTGGTTTTGCGTTACGGTTTCAGTAGTTCCAATTATGCTCTGTTCTCATTAATAATTGGAACCGTCCAAATGGGTTCAGATTATTTAACAAGCAGTGACACCTATGTAGGTTGATTGAATTATCTCTCGACGTAATGGATTCATTGCTCATGTCGATAGGTTTGGTGTCTGATGATTTCCCCGCTCTGTCTACATATTGTTTCGTTCGTCGACTCATTGAATTCCCTCGTCAGTAGTCGGTGACGGAAGTATCAGTCTGATCTCTACCACATCTAAATCGCTCCCCTCTATCAGTCATAGACTGACCGGCATTTGTTAAATTTCCGAGGAGCAAATCAAGTTTCATCGAACTTATGGCTGTTTTGACCGCATCCCCACTTTATTTCAGTTGTTTGAAGACCACCATTGGTGACCCACCGTAGTCATGTTTCTCGGCATCGATGGTGCCTTCAATTCGGTGGATCGATGTGCCATTTAGGACTGACTGTTCATGGAAGGTGTGCTCGGGAAATGTTACCATGGCGCTGTACGCGCGTAGTTTGGACTAATTGTACGCTTATAACAAACTATCGCATCCCTTCAATATCTCCAACAGCATGAGACAAGGTTGCTTGACGTTATATTTCAATTTTTAACTTAGCCTTTGACGAAACCGTAGAAACTACATTGAACAGGTACGCATTGGAAGTTGCGGAGCTGCTTCCAGGTGATCGATTTTTCGATACCAACAACATTGTCAGCTGAATCCAAGCAATTCACAGACTGCATGAACTTCTGTTTTGATCTGTGTCGCCCCATTGCACCAATCTACTTGCGAAATGACAGATTTTCATCTCCATTGCTCAAGCAACTGCGAAGGAGAAAAGAACAGGCTTATAAACACAAGATAACTATCCGTGTCGGACGTCTTGTCCGTGACCATAAAAGCTGAGGTAAGGTTAAACGGTCTGTGCATTTTGACCGTTTTAGGCACTTACAGTTTGCCGTGATCCTTGAGAACTTCAAGACAACTCTGTGGAATACCTTGGTACAGAACACTCAGGCCCGAGGATGTCGACAAACTCAACGCTGAGTTAACCTCCTCATCGCTTAACACACTCGCCCTACTTTCCCTCACCATCACAGAGCCGTTTACTTTACTTGATCTCACAAATGTATACACGAAGCTCACAAGACTGAAATAAACCAAGGCTAGTGGCCCCTATGCTCTATCAGCTGTCGCTTCGAAAGAGTGGCGAAATGTTTTGAAGACAGCTCTGACAGAGATTTTTAAAATCGGTGGTACCATCGCTGACATTTGGAAATCAACCAGGATAACACTTCTGCCTAAAAAACAATCTCGGAATTCTCAGTCATATTCGTGCACATCCCTGCTCTCAAAGGTACTTGGAAAACTGCTGATCCGCCGCATTTTCACAAGTCATCATATTAAACACGTCAAACTGTTTGTCTATAAACTATATCGCTCTGCACTGCATGCCGTTTATTATCTGGAACACTCCATTGTGTTGGATAAAAGATTCAAGAGCGCGATGCTCCTATTTCTCAATTATAGTAACGCGTCTGGACCGATCAGCATAAGTTCCCAGCCATTTCGGACTCTCTTTTGCAATCTCGAAGTTCAAAGCTACATTCCGAGATCTGCAGGGACTGGTCATGCGCTAACCTTTGATGGGGATCAACTAGAAGTCGCTTAAAATTTCGAATACCTGGGCAGCTGTACCATTGCCTGTGGAATAGACGCCGAAGTTTTGGGATCGTATAGCAAATATTCGAAGCGCTTTTACCTCTCATCGCCACTTGTGGCACCGGCGCGTTATCACTCGCCTTGAAGAATAAAATTCCCAATGCGGCCATGCCTTCAACATCCTGTATGGTTATGATACCTGGCTTATCAGATCGACAACCATAAAGAGGATACTTATGTTCCATCATTGCGATCTTCACAGTTTAACTCATGTCTGTTAGGAACACCACACGAGCAATAAGCGTGTTCGGCGTCGTGTATTTGGGTGTACGATGAGCGCGTGAACCGCTCAAAACCCCCCATTATTTCGATAATTGCACCAGTCGTTCTTACTCCTCTATTCGTGAAACGCAGTCCATTTTGGCCCGTTTTCCAACGAGTAAATCGTCCCAAACGCTCCAGTTTTTCCTTTGAGTTTACTAGTTGGGACCATAGCACTCGTTAACACCTTATTCATACATATTTTGTAAGTACGTGGGTCTACAGCATCCGATGAACTGCCTCCATACAGTATTTGTACCTTGATGCTTGCTCCAAGGTCTCATCCACTTTACCGTCTGTGTCATGGGCTGTATTCTCATGTCGAATCGCAATTGGTGTTGCCTTTCTTTTCACCTTTTCCTATTCTTTTGTAAACAATCTTTCCTTTCGCTTGTTGCACGTTCTCACATCTCCACCCATTGCGTCTTTTCGCAGCCAGATTTTCGAACTTTACTTGCCGGTACCTCAATCATGGACGATTTTCTTTTCGACACCCACGCTTCACCGTTGCTTCACATTCTCACCTTTATACTGTCCGGTATCTGATACACAGCCGGTTTATAACTTACTTCTTTCTGTTCTGGCCTCGGTATTCTTAATTTATTCTCCTCGCTTTTTGCTTTTCCGCAGCGGGTGCCCCTGGTGATGTTACTGTGATCGTTGGTCTTATTTTCCTTGACGAAGACCGTCCTCGAACTGCAGAAGATCCGTGCCCCACTACCGGTTCATGGGTCCGCGCCACTCCTCAGATTTCTTCCGTCATTCGTCGTAATACGCATATATATTCTAACCCCAATTCACTTTTGTTCGAGGCCGCTCCTTGCAACATGCTTCTGAGGCGTTCCCAGTCTGTCCCTCGTTTCTGATTTCCTCTCGTAATTATCATAGAGACGCCTCGCGCCCAGTGTCATTTTTCTCATATCTGTCACAGTAGTTTCTTACTTCTGCTCTGTGCATTTTTGGATTCTTGAACTCTTTAAAAAGTATTTCTAATCTCCGTCCCAGCTTGGAATACATTCTCTTAGCGAACCGCTCCCAGTCTGTCCATTTTAAACGATCCGATTGGCATTTACACTCAGCCTTTCTTACCCTTCGCACACACTAACTGCGTTCTCCTTAGAACCCACTCTTATTGACTACTTGCAATTCTGTACAAAACGCTCTTTCAATTAAATTCTTATAACAGATTGATCCACCATTTTTTTCCTATCATCATTCACCTTACAACTCGAATCTCATATTGCGCGATTTGTCATTGTCCTTTCTCAATTCGTTATACTTGTAGCCAATAGTACACTCTCTGATCCGAGTGTGATGGCATCTAATAATAAATAAATAACTTTTTTATTCTCGACAGTGCGAGGCACGCCTGTATAGGCATGATCATAGTAATACAAACGCGACTGATAGAAAATTGCACAAAATATTGTAATATACCACTAATGTATTGGATCTATGTGTTTATAAATGTATCTATGTATGCATTTGCATGTCTCTCTTGCCTGAGTGTGTTAATTTGGCGTTGAGTTTGGCGTTGTGTTCATTCAGGTCATCGGCATGAGAAGGGTTCGAAGGGACGCTTCGGTTTGGAGTGCTGACGTTTATAGAGTGAGGAAGGTGATTCGGCGAAGCGAAGGGTAGTGAATTTAGTTGACAGCGAGTCCCATCCGCCAGTGTTGTTAAACAAATTTATGTGGCTTTTTTATATGGAGAACGCATGCTAAGCGTTAACCCACCACGTTCTGGAACACTGTAGCAATTCCTTAGTTACTGCTTCACCAAATGATGCTTCTAAAGGCTATCAGTCTCCACTTGGCACTTCGGAAACGTAAGTGATCAGCATCTTTGGTGCGTCTAGTTACTTGTAAGCTAACTCGAGGCTGTCGCATCTTCGACTTCGTCTCCCCCCCTCTTCTTTGTTGTATCTGTACATGTGCTTGTGCATTGTGTGCGCACTAACAACAACTCCGACCAAATTGCCTATGCTCATGATGTTTGTACATCATGTGCACTGTGCCGCTTCGGTTTTGTCGGGATATACTCCGTCTAGGGCAATGATTACTTCAGACCAACCAATTAACGTCTAAACACTAGTGGTGACATTTTGGGGGCGTGACAGACGCATTTCTACAGATTTGACTATTAAACCGAAAAGAATTATTTACCCTGAACTGATCTCTGATATTGATTCATATTAATGGAAAGGGAATGTTTGCTTTGCTGAAGACCAGCATTGCCAGTGATTCATTGAAACTCTTGAATGAGTATCTGAAGTTCAATACTCGGCTGGAAGAATCCAGGTTCGAATTGGAATTCCTCAATGAATGCGTGCAGGCAAACCGCTATCCAAAGCACTTTTGGTGGGAAATACGGCGGTGTGGCCTCTACCCAAACTCAAAAAGCTTGAAGAGACATGCGCTCAATTATGTGGACTCCGTCCGCGTTAAAATGTCGGTGCTGGAGAGATTCATTTCGCAAAGATTACCAGCGGTGTTACGCCTTCCTGAAGACTTGAGACAACCTTTTGAGGAATATGTAGAACTGGTTAAGCAAAAAAATGGGAGTAAGGAAACAAAAGAAGTTAGTTAGTACGCTTAATAGCCATGTCCCCCAGTTGACATTTCCGAATAACCCGCAGCGATATGTGTTTAACCTTTCAAGTGTGATAGTAACCCAGACGCAGCTGAACCTGTTGTCATTAAGTCCAAAATTTCGCGTACCATGTAAGAAAATAGATCAGGCGGCTTTAGAGGTGCAGTTTGAAAGCCTAATTGCTCAGACTAAAGACCTGCTTCCAACCTCATCAAGTGATGTTGAGAATCTAGAATCCAGCCTAGTTCATAGTTGTCACTAATACCTTAGGACCAAACCATCTAGTAATAGTATTATCACTAGGGAACAAATTCAGTCACTTTAAGACCTACGGTTAAACAACGAATTAATAATCTCCAAGCCAGACAAAGGCTCGGGCATAGTGCTAATAGATAGGGTGGATTATATCCATAAAATGCAGCACATCCTCAGTGACGAGAGTAAATTTCAGAGGCTCATGGCAGGAAAAGACAACACAGGGGAGTTAGAGAAACAGCTAACAGGCTGCCTCAGGCGAATGATGCAAGCCAAGCTTATCACGAAGAACGAATTCGAAAAGCTGAAGCCTTCAGGTGGACACCTACCGAGATTATATGGCCTGCCTAAAGTTCACAAGGAAGGCGCCCAGTCTTGGACATGGTGGGTTCTCCTCAGCATTTGTTGGCCCAGTGGATGGTGGCGAAGCTGCAGCCGTTACGGAATTTGGTTTGTACTTACTGCGTGAGAGACACCTTCGAATTCATTGAGAGGATATCTGAAAGCAACCTTGTTAACAAAAGGATGATATCATTCGGTGCCCAGTCGCTGTTCACAAATATTCCATTGCTCGAAACCATGGATTACGTATGCGAGCTTGCTCGGCAACTGCCCATATACGCAACTTTTCCGGAGAATTTGCTAAAGGAGGTGCTACTTCTTTGCACGATAAATGTTCAGTTCACCTTAAATGGGGAAATGTATCGTCAGATTGACGGAGTGGCCATGGGATCTCCTTTGGGGCCGCTGCTGGCTGATATTTTCATGACGAAATTGGAACATGGCCCACTTGCAACGCACATCCGCGAAACCGAAATGTACGTACGGTATGTTGACGACACCTTCGTATTTTGCAAATCCGAAAAGCATGCGGAACGGTTGCTGAAAGCTTTCATTGACGCACACGAGAATCTCCATTTCACTTGTGAACACGAACTCGGAAACCGGTTACCTTTCCTGGATGTAGAAGTTATCCGTAACTCGGAAGGACCATGTAGCAGAAAGCACACATGGACTGGACAGTACACTAACAGCGCAGTAACTCTACAACATAAGAGGAGTTTAATCATCTCTCTCGCCTTCAGGGAGCACAGTGTTTGTACATCGGATTCTGTCAACGAAGAACTAGAGAAAATCAGTGACGCCCTCAGGGAAAATGGTTATCCTGATAAATTTATCATGAAACATTTGAATGAACGCAATCGAAAGCCACCTAGGACCATTGCTCCTAAGAAAGTGCATTTCATACATATGCCCTTTAAGGGTGATTCTGCAGCTGATATGTTATCCGGACGCCTGAAACATGCTGTCGAGAAAACTTGTTTCGCGGCCTGTCTGAGAATCGTTTTTCACAATAAGCGGTTGCTTACGAAACCCTTGAAGGATAGACTACCGTCGTTGACCCGTTCAATAATCGTTTATCAGTACTCGTGCTCCTGTGGTGCACGATACGTGGGTCGCACGACAAGACGCCTATCTCAGAGGATTCGTGAACACATCCCGGCATGGTTTTACAAAGGCGAAATTGAGGTCTTCAGACAGCTCAATCATGTCGCACCTCCTTGAATGTGGCCACATAGCTTCAGAGAATGACTTCAAGATTATTTCTTCACTACTTGAACACTTCACCCAAGGATTCCGCAAACAGCTCTTATCCATCACAATCTGAAGCCGGAATTATGTATACAAAAACGATTCATACGGTCGGTACTACTACCTTGGCCAACGGACACTGTTACTTAGTTATGTGGCTGTCATTTTACCTACTTAATTACTTTAGACTATTGAGCTTTGCGTATGCATGTGTATTTAGTTTACTTGGTTTACCATCGCTATCTCTATCTCAAGTTATCGATCTTGATCATTCAAATAGTCCAGAAGTAAATCCCAGCCTGAGTTGACGCTTTCCCCACACCATCGGTGTTTTGTAAACGTTTGGGTCCGATGAGAGTTACCGAGAAG